GGCTGGGAGAGGGGCGGCCCTAGCAGCAGGGAGGAGGTGGTCAATGCTTGGGCACTCACCCAGCCACCCCTCTGTGCGATCCACCGGGCAATGCAGTGATGCAACATGAAGTCGGCCACGAAGCGGGTCACCTGGCCCAGGAAGCCAGTCAGGCCGCGCTGGTAGACGTGGAGGGCCAGGCGGTAGCCAAAGCCCAGCAGAGCCACCACTCGGCCCCAGTTGATGCCGCTCTCAAACAGGCTGTGGGCCGAGGAGATACAGTCAGTGGAGACCTCTAGAGGGCCCTTCATCTGTTTGCCTCTCCCACCCCCTTGGAGACCCCTACCCCTCTCCCAGCTGGAAAGCAAAATGGCTTAGCTGTGAATGGAGGTGGTAGAGGCTGCCCCAGCCTGGCCTCAATTTGGTTAGAGCCCGTGTCTCTGTGAAAGGAGAAAGCTCAGAGGGCAGATGAATGGGATGCTGCTGCTGGGGCTGTGGCCCCAGGGCTGGGGGAGCAAAGGGGCACAGAGAGCGTGGAGGGCAGAGCGAGCAGACGGAGGCAGCAGGGAGATTACCTGTGGGCATTGCTGCTGGCCTGGCAGCCCGAGGGACAGCAGAGAGAAAAGGACAGAAGAGGAGGTTAGGACAGTCCAGTCCTGGAATCACAGCTGAGTGGGCGGTGGCCTCTCAGGACACGGGCAGGATGTTTCAGCTCCGAGCACTAATTCTGAATCTATCGGCTACTCCTGCCTTCACCCTCAGCCTCGAACCTACCCTGAGACTGACCTCTTTAACCAGATGGTGACAACAGCTAACACCTTTAAGTGCAGACACTGTTCTAAGCATATTTCCCCTATTTTACGGACCAGGAAACTGAAGGCTAGGAAGTTTCACAAAGCCGGTAAATGGCAAAGCTGAGATTTGCCCAGGCTGCTGGTTTCTTTAACCACTGCCTGTCTGACACCAGATTATAGCATCTGGAAGCCATTTCCAGGACCTGGTGGGCTGAAGCCAGAGCCAGCAACCATCTTTGGTGTGGAATGTGGTTCCAAATCAGAAGGAGAGCCGTGTCCCAGCGGGGCTGGGGAGCTCTGGGGACACCCCCACCGCGAGCCCCTCTATAGCCCTGATCTAACAGGTCAAGTCCTCGGGGCCAGAGTTAACAAGGGCTGTGCGCTTATGCAGAGATGAAGAGTCTGGGCTCAGAAAGAGAAAGACAGGGGCCCAAGGCCCCGCGTGAGTTAACAGCAGACACGGGGACAGTAAACACGTCTTCTGGTGCCGACAGAGAAGTGTGTCCCCCATCCCATGGGCAGGGCCTGGCATGGTGGTGACAGCACAGCGGAGAGGCAGTGGCCAGAGCTACCTTGAGGCGATCTTGGTGAAATACTCATAGGCGTTCTCTGCTGTTGGCTGCAGGTGCTGCAACATGGCCTGGAACTCGGAGTCGTAGCGCCGGTTGATGTCATCCCCGATGATGGCCAGCTGGCGACCCACCTGCCCCATGGTGCTCAAGGAACGGTAGGCAGCAGGTGAGCTGGGGCCTGGGCTCATGGCGAAGGGCTCCTCCCCGAGATGCCCCAGCCTTGGGCCCCCCCCTCCTTGGCGGTCCCAACCGTGTTCTCAGACACGAGGGCTGGGCCCAGGGACAAGGGGCAGGCATGTGCTGAAAAGGATGCCAGGTCCCGGATGGGGGTGGGAACCCACATGAAAAAGGAGCAGCAGTGGGAAAAACCCCCAGGCCTGTCCAGCTCCCAGGACCTGCATGGTGACCCCACGTGAGCCTCCAACTCCCTGAACATGTCCCCGTGGGCCCAGGGGGCTGCTGCTCACCTGCTAGGTTCTAGGGACAAGGTGACCATTTCTGGGTCAGTGGGCGCAGCCGCCCCCTCGGCCTCCTGCTCCTGCTGATGGCGGTAAAAGACGTAGCTGCGGAAAACCTCCTCCGTGTCCCGGGCTACCTGCTCCTCTGAGGATCAAAGCCAGGAGTCAGGGAGGAAGTGCTCTGGGGATGGTTCACTCTGCCTGTGGACAGAGGTGTCCCTCCTCTAGCCCTTAGTTACCACCTAGGGCTGACACTGAAAAGAGGATTCTTGTCACAGCTGCCTTGTGGAATAGGTGACCCCCAGTTCACGGATGGGGAAACTGAGGTGCAGTGTTTACGTAACTTGCACGAGCGTGTACAGCTGGAGAGAGCGGTGCAGCCAGGATAGAATCCCAGGCATTTGGGTCCCCGACTTTATTTTAGTTTGTCCAAGGCACCGAGCCCTTATGGCTTAGGGAACGTGGGAGACAGAATTTGAAATCGTAGCCCAGAAAAGCCACATCGGGAAATAGTGACAGACCTGGGACTGAACCCAAAGTCCAGGGAACAGCCTGTGCTGGGCCGCGAGCTGCAGGCGTCCCTGATGTTCCCCTTGGAAGAGGAAAGAGGTACAGCCATTTTACTTCCTCCCCAAAGTCGTTAACAATCCCTCTCCCTGTTAAGCGGACCTGACTCGGTGATAGGTGGATTTACTTCCTTATTTCTCCCAGGGCAGGGATAGGACAGCCACGCCCCACTCTTCTTTCCTCCTCCTCGCAGATGGCAGGGTGCCCACCTCATGCTCACTGCCCCGCCTCCCCCAGCCTCTGCACCCCCCACTGCTGCCCCCCTGCCTGCATTGGGTAGGGAGATGCTTTTCTCCTTTACCCAAGGTGAGGAAACTGAGGCGGGAGAGCCTGCCTTTAAATCTTGCCCGGCTTGTCCACATCTGCTCTCTCCATCCTCACAGATGGCCCTGGTGGTTATGGGAGGGGTGAGGGGGCAGAAAGACAGTTACCCGAAGTGGAGGAGGGGTCAGGTTCTTCGCACCCCTGCCTGGGAGGACCTGGGCCTTGTCCGGATGCCATTTCTCAGGTCCTGGCAGGAAGGGCAGTGTTAGCCTGTGGGGGTGGGTAGGAAAGCAGAGATGGGGACCAGAGGTTCCAACAGCACACGGAGGGAGGGGACCCCCACTCCTGAAAGACCGCACCGTCCTAAGAACTTACTGAGTATTTCACTGGCAGTTCTTCAAGGAGACTGGGAGTGAGAAAGGCCGGGCAGCCAAGATTCCCACCCAGGGGTCAGCCAGGGCCCAGGGAGGGGTGGCCGCAGCAGTGCCCGAGTGGATCTCTGGTCGTACTGGGAGGCGAGTTTCAGAAGCTGGGGTTCCTTCCGCTGCTCCGGGGCCTCCTGCACCCTACGCAGCACACACTTACTGCAGACTTGCCACCTTCCAGCCAATGACCCACGAAGCCCGTCCCCAAAGGTTCCACTTCCCCTTGGCTAGTCAGAACACACCTGTTTTCCAACTCAGGCCCGTTAGCCGCAAGCATTTCCTGAGTGCCTATGGTATACTTCTACCATGTATGTTCAAGTACTCCCCAGGGAGTGTGGGACATGGAAAGAACACATTAACCTGGCAGGGTAAGCAATGTCATACCCATTTTACAGGTGGGAAAAGGGAGGCACAAAGAAGTTAGTGCCCAAGGTCACAGAGCTAGTCAAGGAGTCAGGTTGGTTATTTGAATTTCCACGAGTCAGTCCTCCACTCAGCACTCATTTCAGATTTATTTTTCAGTTTGTGGACCTTAGAGGGTGTCCTTTCCGGGGAAACTTCCCTTGTTTGCGTCCTGCCTGTGATCTTCACATTTCTGCCTAGCAGGTGGTTGAGGAAATCACATGTACCCCTTGCTCTCCTGTCTCCAGCCCCTATTTTCCTCCTTTGCCCAGTCCTGGCCACAACCCCAGTATGCTCTGTAAACCTCCACAGAGGGAGTATTTCCTGGACGTAAGCTATTTCACTTTCAATTTGCACCCCCTTCACTTCCCCCCACCCCAAAGCTGCCTCCATCACCCAGGCGGGAAGCCACCCTCCTCCTCTCCCTGGGAGGGCCTGTGTCCCCTCCCCCCACCTTCCCTCTCAGGCCTGGGGCCATTTTCGAAAGTGCCTGAGGAGAAGGGTGGGGAAAGTCCGGACCACCTGTGCTCTCCACCCCTTCACTGTCTCAGGGCAGGGACAGGGAGAAGACCAACTCTCCCCTCCTCCACCCCTGGGTGCTCAGACTCCTTAAGACAGACCTTTGCCTGGCACACCCCCATCCCAGAAGCTTCTTCCTGAACAAGATACCTTCCTCTCTCCCTTGGTCTCCGAAACCTAGTGCCCCCAGGACAGCAGGGCTGGAGGATGCTGATTGCATCTCGACTGCCTCTACCGCTACCCCTGGGGCTCAATGCTGGGGAGAAAGTGGAGCCTCAGAACCGGCCCCAGGGCCAGAGGCCTATGCCAACCTGGGTCTACCTCTGCCCCCATCCAAGTGGCCTGACTTCCTGGTAGGGAGAGTCCACTGTGCCCCACCTGCGGGGTTTGCTGGGCCCAGGATGTTTCCCGGGGCAGGGGGGAGATGCAGACCTAGCCCTGCTGCAGACCTAGTCTTAGGGCTCCTGGGACAGCAGGAAGTGCTGTGAAAGTTCTCCCCCTGCCCTTGACCTTGGCTCTGACCTCCACTCCCATCCCCCAGACTGCTAAAGAACCTGGTTCTTTAGCACCCGATTCTCTGGCACCAGGGCCAGGCCAAGAGGGAAAGCTGTCTGAGGAGCAGCCAGAGGGAGCCCCGGCCGGATCAGGCCCTGAGCAGGGGTTGGTGGAGCTGCCCAGACAAGCCTCGAGGCCTCCCCCTCCCCACCGGGCTCCCTGCGGGCTCCCTGCCTCACCCTGGGCCTGGGGCTGCCGAGAGTGGGGAGCATGGGCAGGACCCTCCCGGCTTACCTGCCCGGACCCTGGCCCAGGCCCGGGACGGCTCAGCAGGGCAGAGGCTGGAGATCCTGAGGAGCCAGTGGCTGCTCCCAGGGTCAGGTACCCAGGTCTGGCTCCCAGGAAGGGGCGTCAGTGAATTCCTGGTGTCTGGATGCAGCCTCTGCTGGTCCCAGCACGGCCCTGGGGACCCGCGAGGCTGCGGCGATCATAGAGGTGCCGGCGGTTCCCGGCTCCAATCAGCTCCCTCTAGAGGAAGTTGCTCTGTGGCCGCCGGATGCAGATGCCCCAGCCTACAGGGCTCCCAGGCGGAGAGAGCGGCTCCCACCCAGGCAGAGTGGCTCCCCCTCCCCCACTGCTTTTCCCACCGTTGATTCCCAGTCTTCATCCTTGATCTTTCCCCTGCTTCCATCAATGTCAATAAAAAAGCCAGGATGGCGAGGTTTCTTAAGCGCCACTGTGTACCAGGCACTTTAAAACCTCTTTGGAACAACCCTTGGAAGTAAGTGCAGTGGACCACACCCATCTTAGAGCTGAACAAACTGAGGCTCAGCTGGTTTAAGGAACCTTGCCCAAGGTCACTGAGCTGGGTTTATAATCAGGTCTGTAGGTGCCGTGAGGAATAATAATACTAAATTGAGATTCAACGCGCAATTAAGACCTGTACACCAAGCACCTCGGTGGTCTGCAGAGAGAAAAATCCTGAATGTGATAGGCAGGTAAACGTGAAAACACAGTGGGTCTGTGCTACCACCTGGGCATGTGCCAGCTGGATACTGAGAGGAGAGAGAAGAGGGAGGACAGAGACTCTCTGGCCTCAGGGATTGAATGGTTCTCAAGGACAGAAGCTACCGCAGCCAGGGAAGGACAGGCCTGGAGAGAGCTGTGTGCCTCCACCCCAGTCTCAGAGTTGGGGTTCTCCAGCCACCTCTGCCTGCCCCCCACCCTGGTGTTTCCTGGAGCCTCGCCAACCCCCTCCCCCTTCAGGCTGGCTCCCCAGGCCTCCTTCCCCTGCCTCATCAACGCCTTGCACTCTCTGCCCCCAACTAAGCCCTCCTACCTTCTCCCCCCACCCCTCCCCTACCTTTGCCTTCTAGAACTCCTGGAAGTTTCCAACTGGAGGGTTTAATTTGAAAACTCCTCCTTTCCTTAAGTAGTTGGTCCTGAGGTGGCTGCTGTGGCCCCTCCCTCTGAGTCAGGGTCCTTGTCAGGATGGAGGCCCCAGCTTCAAGCCCTCGATCCCGAATTTTGGGCCACTCCTCCATGTTCCGCTTTTTCCGTAGCCTGGTGGGGAGCAAGGGCAGCCCAAAGAGCTCAGACAAGGCCCTGCTGGGGGGCCAGTCTTGTCCCTTTTGAGAGCAGAACGCCACCCCTTTGATGACTGATCACCAGGGAGGAGCAGGGCGGGAGTCCAGGCCTCCTGCCACGCTGCCCTACACCTTCTCTGTGGCCCTGCCACAGCCTGATCCCTCGGGGCTGGGGCTGGGGGACACAGGGCCCCAGACCCCTACCCCCGTGGAGGTCCTGAGGGTCCTGGCTCAGGGTGTAGAGGTGAAGCCAGTCCTGCCCAGAGGAAGCCAGGAGGTGCTGGGCAACCTGTCTGAGTTGGAGGAGAGGGAAGAGGAACAGACGGAGGCAGCAGGGGATACAGGGACCTCAGACAGGTGAGGGGCTGGGCTGTGGATGGTGGGAAGGAGCCTGGGATGGAGGAACTGGGAGGAGGCCTGGATGTAAGAAGGGGGAAGGATGTGGGCCTGAGATGGGAGGACCCAAATTGGGGAGGGGCCAGGAGCGGACTCCTTGGGTGGACAGAGGACTGGGTGGGCATGGTTGGACAGACGTGTCAGGGGTGGAGAGGAGCCTGGAGATGTGGGGAGGGGGTGAGGCAGAGATGGGGGTGTTCCTGCAAGTGAGTGGTTGTGGAGGGAGGCACCGAAAGGAAAGGGGGGTGCTCTGGGTTGAGCCGGGGCTCCTGTTACTTCCCAGCTCCTTCCTGGGCCCCACTCCCCCAACCTTCCCTCCCCACTCTCTCCCTCCTGGTTCCCACTCTCATTTGGACCTGGCACCCACCCCTGGTGAGGAAGGGGGCCCACTTCTCTCTCTGCTCCCCACGCCCCTCCTCACCCTACTTTTGGGGAGGGATCATCCCCTCTGTGATGAAGACCCCAGAGGGCCGAGCAGGGAGTAGTTGGGAGCAGGAGGTTAGAGGAAGCTGAGCAGGGCCTCTAGGAGAGCCCTGGGGGGTTTAGGGGGCCTTCACCACATCTCTGGGCCCCACCTGCCACCCCCATCTGACTATGCTTTGGGATCAGGGGCCACTTTGCCCAAGCCTTGGCGGTGGAGCAAGGATGCTTGCAGAGGGCCATGGGGCCACTGGATATCAGCCCCGAGACCTTCACCGGGGAGGAGGAGAAGGAGCGTCTGCTTGATGGTGAGTGTGGTGGCCGCAGGTGTGGGGGACATGCCGGGGGTGTAGGGCCGGGAAGGACACAGGGCAGTTTGAGGGGACGCTAGAGGCGGGCTGCCTGGGTTTGAATCCCACCTCCACTAGGCCAAGCTGTGTGATGGTGGCGAGTCACTCAACCTTTCTGTGTCTCACTTTCCTCATCTGCGAAATGGGAATATAATAGTACCTATACCAGAGGGCAGTAGCAAGGATTGAGTGAGATTTTCTCTGTGAAGTGCCTAGAACTGTGCCCAGCATGTAGCAGGTGTTTGCTAAAGAAAACAAGGAAACCTGGCCCTCAGCTCAGCCTCCTGATGGCCCTGTCCTCCTGGGCCTGGGCTGCCTCTTGCTGCTGTGAGCTATCAGTGACCACTACCGCTCCACAGGAGACCTCGGGCTGGCCTCCTCCCAGGTGGGGGCAACTCCCTGGAACCGCCTCCTCAGCTTGTACAAACAGCTCCAGAAATCGGCCACGGCCAAGGTCAGTGGGGCTAGCTGAAAGTGCGGGGTGAGGCCTGGGTGGGGCCCAGGGGGGCAGCCACCTGCCTGAACCTCTTGAGAGCCGTTGTTCCCTCCTGCTTTCTGTTCTGGGTCTCCGTGGGCGTGGGGGCTGCAGGCTCGGCCCCACCCTCCTCACCTGCTCAGTCACGGGCACACCCTCAGATCCCTCTCAAGGAAGGCCTGCCCTGTGAGGAGAAAGGCGGGGAAGAGGAAACAGAGGAGGAGGACAGCTCACTCAAGCTCTGTGTCCCAGGCATTGTCACCCTCCAGTCGCCGCTGCATAAGACTTTTAGGTCGACAGATACAGTAGGTAAATGTGGTGCCCCCACCTCCCCACCCAGCCAGCTCCCCCACAGAAGAAGCCCCACTTGGATCAGTGGCTCATGGATGCGATACCAGTTCTGACCACCAGGTGGAACCAGAGGACCTAAGATGACTGCCCAGGCTGGGGGAGCTGTGTGTGGCTGGTCCCGAGGCTGAGCTGGGTCTAGCAAGGGTCCTCCTCCCTCAGGGCCCGGGGGGGAGGCAGCAGAGGGTGGAGGGGTGGGGGGCGGGTTGTGACTGGGACTGCGGCTCCTTGAGCACCACCCTTTCCCAGCCTGGAATTCTAACTCCTTCAGTGGCCACCTCCATCCCTGGTTTTCCCATCGTGCGTGCACTGCTGTGACAGTACCCCAGAAGGCCCCCTCTCCCACTGCAGCCCACTTGCCGCCCTGACATGGTGAGCAGGTGGCTTAGTGGTAATAACATACTCCAATAAAATCACTGTTGACATTTTCATAGCCATTACTGTGGGCCAAACCCTCCTCTAAGCACTTTTCATGAAATACTGCGTTATAACTCTGCGGTAGGTTCTGTTACAGTCTCCACTTCACTGTGAGGAAACTGAGGCACAGAGAGGTTAAGTAACTTGTCCAAGATCACACAGCTAGTAAGTGGCAGAGCTGGGACTTGATCCCAGGAGGTTTGGGTTGTTCCAGATCTGTGCTCTGGAATTGGTGGCTGGAGGGGGCATGGTGGGGTAGGGCAGATGTCTGCCCCTTGCATGCTGTCCCCAGGAGGTAAGTAAAGAGACTCACACTCAAGCTGGTGGGAGGGAGCCCATGGAAAGCGAGTGTCCTGGGGAGGGCAGGGCAGTGGGGAGGTGTTGTCTGGCTGGCTCCAGGGACTGGATGGAGAAGGGGCCCAGCTGGGAAGGCCAGGGGCTGCACAGGGCTGGGTGAGGTTTGGAGAGCCAGAGCCCCCTCCTCTCCCTTCGATCCCCAGCAGGTTGTCCACCCTTCTCCTGCCTGTCCCATGCCCATCTCTCTGACTCTCAGGTTTCGTGGAGTCGGAGTTAAAGAAGCTTCTGGTAGTGCAACAGGAGTCCCGCCTCTGGAAGATGGGTGGCCATGAGGGCCGGAAGCTGCTGACCCAGCCAGAGATCACCCTGGAGGAGGCAGGCATTGTGGATGTCCAGGTATGCCCGCCCATCCTGCCCCCACCCTCTGCCTGAGAGCCCTGGGGAGAGTGGGGCTGGAGGCCTCCCCTCTCCACAGCTGCTGGCCCAGGCTCCAGCCCCCATGCTGGGCAGGAAATGCTTAACTCCTTCTTGGTGGTGGTATCTCTGAGAGCAGGATCCTGACCCCCTGCACAAACTCCTGCATCAGTCTCTCTCTCACTTGACCTGAGTCCATTTTTAAGGCTTCACTGCCATTCACTTGCTGTATGGCCTTGGGCAAGTCCCTTCCCCTCTCTGGGCCTCAGTTTCCTCATTTCTACATTGAGGGGACTTGTCTAGGTGGCTTTAAGGCTTTCCTGCACATCTGTCATTCGCATAATGTTGCTCTTTTTCTGTTTTCTCTCCCATTCACACCCACACCAACTCCCACAAACACACATAGGTGCGGGGGAGTTACCTACCTGGTCACGCCAAGGACCACCTACAGCCCACCCTACTTGACATTGGCCTCAAAGGTTAGGCCTGTCCCAGCTTCTCTGAGTGCACATTGATGGATATGTTGATGAAAAATGTGTCAATGTCCTTCTTGGGTTAATTTCCACTCATTCATCAGCTCATCATTTCATTCAGTGGACATCTGCCCCTGACGGTGTGTGTAGTTTACAAAAGGAAGGAGCAAAGTCTTTAGTCGAAGTCTCTGACCTGGCATGACTTGCTCTGTGACTTTGAATGTGGGCCTTGGTTTCTTTACCTGAAGAGGGGACCATTGGAGGATCCAATGAGCTGACGAATGTGTAGCCCTCAACTTCAAAGGGCGCTCCAGCGTCAGGGAGTATGACTCACCCCTTGGGGGTCGTTAATACCAGAAATACTTGCCTACTGGGTACTGAGGGGCAGCCTTCCCGTTGTCTTGAGCCTGCAGGCTATGTGTCAGGGTGCCCCTCTGTGCTCTGGAGAACCTCACCCTAAACCACACAGGTGGTCACTCTGGCAGGGCCCCTGCTTTTGTCTTTTCCTGCTAAAGGGAGCTCTCCTCCCCTCTCCCCTCCACTCCAGGACCACCCCCTGAGCCGGCCTGCCCCAGCCCCAGGGGTCACAGTCCTAGGGTAGCCTGAGTATCACTGGGGGCCCCTAGGGAGTTTCTGGATTAGAGGACCAGCTGAGTCCTCACTTGGGGACAGGGCTGCCTCAGGGATATCTTCCTGCTGTGGGTGTTACAAGGATTCTGTCCTCATTACCTCCCCCCACTCTCTCCTTATCTGCCCTCAGAGACACCAAGCTGAGGGGGGAAGGAAGCTGCCCCCCAGCCTTTGGGGAATGCTGGGGACCCGGGGGAGGGGCGCTGAGGCACCAGAAGCACCACCCTAGGCTGGAGGGAAGGATGCAGAGCCCCCTTGGTGTGGTGTCTAGGATAGAGGTGAAGGAGGGGAGGGCTTGGCTGGGGTGCCTGGCTCCAGGGGCTTCCCAGGAATCCCCCAAGCTGGAGGGAGAAGGTTACCTCCATTCTATGGGAGGGAGGTGGCTCAGGGCTAGTGGGCCTGGCCTGCTGTGGGCACCTGGGGGAGGGTCTGGAAAGGTGGCCTTGGGGTGCTTGTCTCTGAGGGCAGGTGGGATGGTTCTGGGGGTACAGAGCAGGAAGAGGAGAGCGCAAAGATGCAAAGGCATCTTCCTTCACCCACTTCCACCCCCCAGCACCTGCTCCTTGAGGAGATGAATGAGATGGAAAACTGGCCTCCAGAGTGAAGCTGGTGCTGGCCTGAGTCTGCCCTGCCCCGGGTCCCTGCAGCCTGTGTAGAGATGTATCCGCCTCCTCTTAGGGCACCTCAAGGAGCCCCTGGGGCCAAAGACACCGTCTTTAATAAATGGTGTCCATGTGTCTGCAGGGTGGGCCTGCCCGGCACACTGTCCCCACTCTTCAGACTCAGGCCTGTGATGTTATTAATAAAACTCAGTTTGACTTTGGCCTTCTTGCCTGTCTGTCTGCCGACCTGGCCCCTCATCCTCCACCCAGGAACAAGCTCAGGGTTCTCAGTCTAGTTCTAGTCCATGCCTACAGGCTGCCAGGCCACCCCAGCTGCAGAGCCCTGGGTTCCATCTGAGCTGGAGGACGGGAGGTTTAATGCACCTGACCCAGGGGTGGGGAAGGACCTGGGGCCCAGAGTGAGCGCCGGGGGAGCCCCTGCTGCCACAGACCCGCCCATCATAGTCAGAACAGCCCTGGTTTCCCTCCCTCCTAAATTCCCAGGCCTGGCTTGCAGCCTCCTCGAAGGATCCGGGAATTCTCCAGCAGGAAGTTCCTGCCCAGCCATCACGGGGACAAAGCCAGGAAAGCAGCCTTGGGACCATGGGGACCTGCCTCAGGGGCTGGGCTAGGGGGCAGGTGAGGGGGCCCTGGGGTTGATGGAGAGGTGCCACAGGGGTGGGGGTCAGGGCTCCATCCTGCTGCCCCTGGTCAGGGCCCACTAGGCCATGCTCAGTGCCAAGCGCCTTTGTGGATCCTGGGTGGGTGGAGGGAGGTCCAGACATCTAGAAGGCCCAACGCTATCTAATCCCAGAAGCAAGGATGGGCTTGAGTATTGGCCGTGGCAGGGCACACCCTCATACCCGGCTTCGTGGGCATCCAATGGGAGGGAGGGCCAGGCCCAGTTTGGACACCAGGAGGTGCTGTTTGCCAGGAGGTCCAGCTGGCTCCCGGTAGGACGCTGGTTCATTCCCTCCCGTGCTGGTCCTGGCTGAACCCCCAGCACACGTGTGAGAGAGAGCTCACACTGCCCAACTCTTATCAACACAACTGCTATTTACAGATGCGTGTCTCGCCTTCTCCATGGGGCCCCCACTGTGTCCAGCCCGAGGCCTGTGCAGAGCTGAAGTTCAATGTCAGAACATGGTGGCCACTCTGAATAATTATCATGATTGATAACAATAGCTGTTTGTTGGATGGATGGGTGTGCTTGAGGTGGGGGTAGGGAAACTGCAGCAACCTGGCCTCCTGCCCCAGCCCCGCCCAGCCCAGTGAAGTGGGGAGCCCCACCTCCTCCCATCCCCCAGCCTGGGCTCAGGGGAGAGCTTGGAGAGGAGACTGGCTAGTGATTCACAAGTGGGCTGGGGCTTTATTTTCTCTTGGGCTTCCTGGTCAGGCCCCCCACCTCCTGGAATCCTTGACTCAGGCCCTGAGCTGAGGCCCATGGAAGGGCCCATCTGGACTGTCCCCCTGAGTCAGCTGGAGGCAGCCTTGTGATCATATGACTCACCTGGGCCCTAATTACTTCCTCTCAGAGTGTTGGCTGCTGGGAAGGGTGGGGGCCCTGGAGGGCAGCCTGTGGGCTCCCTGGGTGCACGTGGACCCCTGGTGTTCCCTTGTGGACATAGCACTCCTCATGGACCCCACGGAGGGGATACCTCTCTGCCTTCCCCCTTCCTGATAGGCCCCCAAACCTGGTGCCAGCCATGCCCAGGCTGGAGGAGGATCCCTGGGCCCAGAGCACTCCAGGACACAGCTCTGCCCTCTCCCCCCGTTGTCCTCTGGGTGGGGCTGGCCAGCAGCCCCTGGACACAGGCAGGCACCACAGTGGGTCGGGGTAGACTGGGCCCAGCTGGCACTCAGGCTCCTTGGCTGCTCGTGTGAGCCAAGTGGGCACTCATAGGCCGTGCCACCTCAGCTCCCAGGGACAGGAGCGTCTCATCCTTGGGCCCCACGAGAGTGGGCTGCTGGGGAGTGGCGGGGCGGGCACCTGTCTGCTCCTCTCTCTCCCTTTCTGTCAAGTGAGGGCCATGGCACCTCATCGTCCACCCCACCTCCCCCAGGGTTCCTGTGAACCACAGGGAGGAAGGTCTGTGAGGCTGGGAGGCGCAGCTGCCGGTGCGGGAACAGGAGTGGGGACTTTGTCCGGGCACAGATGTGAGGCCCTCTACCCGGCCCCGAAGGGTCCTGGGCCGGTTCCTGTGGATGGGCCTGGCCTGACACTCATGAGTGGTGAAGGCAGGGGTGACGTGGCCCAGGGACCTGCGGGGGGGGCGGGGAGGCGCGGCGGGGAGGGGCAGAGGGCCGGGTGCAGGCTCAGTGCACACGTGGACAGAGGCCAGACGTTTCTGAAAGGCTTCGAGGGAACACTGCCGATGCATCTGTGGGTCTGACCTGAGGACTGGGTGGCATTTAAAGTTTTCTCCTCTCCAGCGTGTGCAGACAGCTGGGGCGGGGGGGCGGGGGCAGGGCATGCACCACTTGTGCAGGTTGGGCCCTGGACCAGGGCACTAGGCTCAAGGGTGACAAGGCTCTGAAACCCCGAGAGGTGCCTCTCTCTCATTTGCTCAAAAGGGCCAGTTGGGGGGCAGTGGCCCCGGTCAGTCCTGCAGGTTTAAGTCAAGCTGTTATGTCAGAACTTGCCAAGCCTCTGCCCCTCTCCAGGTTTCTCTCCACGCTCCCCATGCCCCCACCCCCCGCATCTTCCTCCATCTCTCTCTGTTGGTAGCTACGTATGGGTCTGTTTCTTTTCTCTCTTTCTTACTGTATCTCTGGAGGGTTAGAGGTGAGAAAAGCAGCCCCCAGATCCATTCTGAGGGTATGTGGGGGACAGTGGTGGCTGAAAGGAAGGCAGTAGGTGGTGGTGGGGGGAGAGCAGGGTGGGTGGTCCCAGGGAAGTGTGGGCAGGGTCAAAGGCGTGCCTGCCTGCCTGGGGAGACACTGGGGTCTCCCTCCCTGTGGGCTCCTGGGCATAGCCTTTGAGGAAGATGCCACCTCGGGCCCTGTTCAGAGGAACTGGTTGTCAGCCTTGCCTATCCCTGGGGTGAGGGAAGGGCAGAACCACTGTCTTATTTTCCAAGTGGGAAGGGAGCTGGAGCGCAGAGGAGCAGAGGGGAAAGACTCAGCTGGGTGGCAGCCGAGGCTCCAGCTTGACAAGCTCACGTGACTGCTGGCAGGTCCCTGACCTCTCTGAATCCCAGTTTCCACATCCTTGAAATGGGCGAATCACAGGCTTCTCTTGTGGGCTGAATGAAGTGCTGTTTGGCAGGGATCAAATAATTATTAAGCACCTACTACATTCTGTTCTAGACACTGGGGAAATAGAGCAGTGAACAAGACACACAAAACCTTCACTTTTTTGAGCACTTATGATTGCTAGTAGGATATACAGCGAACATATAATGTATCAGGAAGTGACAGGTACTATGAAGAAGCTGGCTAATAGGATACTCTTTCAGAGTGATGGGATGGGAAGGGCCATTCTGAGGAGGTCAAATGGAAGCATGGACCACCAGGAAGTGAGGGCAGGAACCATGGGAATGTCGGGGAAGAATATTAGAGCTAAAGTGCAAATGCCCTGAGGCAGGAGAAGGCCTGGGGTGTTTGAGAAACAGGAAGGAGACCTGTGTAGCTGGAGGATAGAGTGGGAGGAGGAGTAACGGGGTGAGATCAGGAAGGAAGGAGGAGGGACTTGCCTGGTGGCACAGTGGTTAAGAATCTGCCTGCCAATGCAGGGGACATGGGTTTGAGCCCTGGTCGGGGAACATCCCACATGCCACAGAGCAACTAAGCCCATGCGCCACAGCTACTGAGCCTGCGCTCTAGAGCCCACGAACCACAACTACTGAAGCCCGCGCGCCTAGAGCCCATGCTCCGCGAAAAGAGAAGCCACTGCAATGAGAAGCCTGCACACCGCAACGAAGAGTAGGCCCTGCTCTCCGCAATTAGAGAAAGCCCGCAGCAACAAAGACCCAACGCAGCCAAAAATAAATCAATAATAAATAAATTTATAAATAATCCGCCTGCCAGTGCAACACGAGTTCGATCCAAGGTCAGGGAACTAGATCCTGTATGCCACAACGAAGACTCCACGTATCACAACTAAGACCTGGCGCAAAAATAAATTAAAAAAAAAAAAAAGACCTTCTCTCCCTGCCATCCATCCCTCTGTAAACTTGCACTCTAGTGCCTTTGCTGGGACCCCAAATCACAGCCACAGCTTCCCAAGCCTTCAAAGCTGCTGTCCCCCCAGGTCTTCCCTGCTACCCCTGTACCCCTGCCTATCCTATACAGCTCAGCTCTGGCACCTCCTCTTCTCCTGGAGTCCTCACAGCTCCCTGGCTATGGGACTAATGGGATCTATGTGTTTTCCTGCTCTCTAGCCTGGACAGACACATTATGAAGGCAGGCCCTGGGGGGGTTTGTCCCCATGTCTGCAGTGTCCAATGTGCTGGCTAGCACAGAGCAGGCTTAGCACAAGGTGCCAGACTGAACGAGCAAGGGAGGGGGGTGCTCAGGGACAGAGCTGGAGTGGTAGGGGCTAGATTACATAGGGCCATGTCTGGCAACCTCAATGGCTTGGCATCCTCAGGGCAGTGGGAGCCATAGAAGGCTATAGAGCTGGGGGAAGTAGCACGATAAGATGTACAGTGGAGGGGGGAGTGGAGGGAGCAGGGGGCCAATTAGGAGGCTGTCACAATTGTTGTAGTGAGAGAGATAATTGAGCCTGAGCTGGAACAGTGGCAGATGGGGTGAACAGGAGGACACTTGGGCAGTACTTCCCAACCGGGGCAATTATGTCTGCCAGGAGACATTTGGCAATGTCTGGAGACATTTTTGGTTTGTCACAACTTGGGGTGGGGTCCTACTAGCATCTCATGGGTAGAGACCTCCCTATGTTTCCTCATCTTTAGTAAAGGTTATTAGGAGGATTAAATGGGTTAATACATGGCCAGTGTTTAGAAAAGTGACTGATACGTATTAAGCACTAGGTAACATGAGCTACTGTTATTTTAAAACATAAATCCTTAAAAAAAAACCCAGTTTTAAAAAAAACAACTAAACATTTAAAAAATAATAATAATAAAAATAAAACAGGGCTTCCCTGGTGGTGCAGTGGTTGAGAGTCCGCCTGCCGATGCAGGGGACACGGGTTCGTGCCCCGGTCCGGGAAGATCCCACATGCCGTGGAGCGGCTGGGCCCGTGAGCCATGGCCGCTGA